TCCCGTAAGTTTGCGCCTTATTGTGCGCCGCGTTAACGCAACATTCCGCGGGTTTTGCATCCGACATTCCGTCCGATCGCTCCTTTTCGCATTCTTGCCGTAATTTTTTTTTTTTTTTTTGTTTTTTTTATTATTCCGCTCGCAATTATTCACGGAGTATTTGGAGGCGAATAGTTTCGAAGCCGTCGACACCGTCGGCGGTAAGCGGAGAGCACGAGATAGAGCGGAACGGGAGCAAAAACCTTCGTAAAGGCGAAGAAACGAAATCGCGCTCGTCTCGCGGATATGACGGAATTCCGACGTGAGCGAAACTTTCACGAGGAAGAGGTCTTCGACTTCGGTCCTTCGATATCGGCAACCTCCTTCTCCCCGGGATCGTTAAGATCGATCGTCGCTCTAGTCGCGATCGTTAGAGAACACACGGGTCACTGGTTTCGGGGTCGAAGGAAGTCCGAAGCTATAAAATCGCGAAGCTACAGAGGTTCTCAGCGCTGCTTTTTTTGTTCCGCTCTCGATCGCGAATCGACGAGATAAAGAATATTTTCGGAGAAACTTTGAATGTGCGCGTTTACACGCTTGAAAAATTGCTCTCTTTCTCTCTCTCTCTCTCTCTCTCTCGGCTCCATCTTCTCGAATTCTCGATCCTCACGTTCTGTTTTTTCCTTCGCGAATATCTCGTCCAAATGAAAAGTAATATCAATCTCGAGCGCGCGTACAATCGAGACGGATTATACGAGCGCGACCACGTGGCGTCCAACTACGTCTCTTATAATCCAGAGACCTTGGCACGTTTTCATCGACCAACGTTCCGTTTTTTTTTTTTTTTTTTTTTTTTTTTTTTTTTTTTTACGTGTCTCTTCCTCGAGCTGTAACGAAGTTGTAGAATCTCCCATTCACGAAGCTCCACAAGCTTTCGATCACGCCTCTTTCGAAGAGAAAGAGATATATATTTAGATTGTCATTAGACCTCGCGAGAGACGCGAATAAATTCGTCGCAGTTTTCGTGTCAATTTTCAGCTTCGAAAAACGAACAAAGACTTTCTTGTGTTTTTCAGGAAATACTATTCTGATCGTTTGCCACTAACGTTTACGGAACGTGCAAGCCAAAAGTGACATTGCGTATACACGTACACAAACACAAACAAATGCAAATGTAATCGCACGCGGGTAAGTCGATGCGGGTATTCTCTTGTTGATTGCGAGTTGTTTTACTAGAACACATCGCGTTTACCAGAAACAATGTTTTTGTTTTTTTTTTTCCCTGGTAATTACCACGTATACACGTACACGCATACACGTGTTCGTGTGCGCATCCAGGTACCCTTAGCTTATGAATATCTAATTAATATCTAAAAAAGCTTTCGACGAAATTAAAAAAAAAAGTAGGTAACACTTTCCGCTCGATTTCAAAAAATCGAGACTTTATTTCAACAAAGTCAAGTGCCGTCGTCTTTACGTTCTGTTTATTACATTATTTTTGTTTTTCATATTTAGAGCGGTGTCTCGCTAATAAACCTTTAAAGCGCTTTAATTTTTTCTTCTCCTTTTATAAATCTCTGTATGTAATTTTGCGTTTTTAATCAAGTTATTATTATTTTACTGAAGAAATGTAAGTTCCGTTGAAAAAAAAAAAAAAAAAGAAAAGTTCCCGGTCGGAAAAATGTCAAATAAATTTTGTATCTCACGAGACAAAAATATTCCAGAGAGAGAGAGAGAGAGAGAGAGAAATTAGTCGAAGTCTGCTGTTAAAACATACAACGAAGCGGAGACAGAAATAAGGTTCTTCTCGTAGGGAGAGAAAGAGGGACAAAGGCTTTCACGTTTCGGAGTATCGGTGCGCACACGATTACGGTAATCATGACGGGAGTTATATCGGAGCAGGAATGCGCGTTCGATATATCGGCCGTAATGTACGCGCGGCGTGTATAAAATGGAGCTTAGCGCTGTGGGCGTATGTGCGTAACCGCGCGCGAGTGCATCAACCGTGTGTTGTACTTACGTACGTACATACGTACGTACGTACGTGCGTGGACACGCGCGCGCGCGCGTTCGCGAATACATACGTGTATAACGCACCATCCGTAGAGTCCCGGCGTGGGACCAAAGCGACTCAAAAAGTCGCACGGCACGCACAGCGGCTCTCAGACGACAGCGGCGCAGACTCAAGCTCACTTTCGATCGTGTTCTGTAACTACTAACGTACGCGAGAAATCTAATCAAAACTTAACGGAATGCGCAAAATCGCGGCGAGAAAGCGAGTGTGTGTGTGCGAAGGCGAGGCGACCGCGTAAATTTCCCGCGTGAAATTGTTCATTTCGCAACTACGGATGCGCAGAAAAATTAAATATTGCGTTACATGCTTACGCGAGGAATGCAAAAAATTCGATATCCTTGATCGCGTTTCAGTTTGTCACATACCATACGAGGAACGTAATAATAACGCGAACAAAACAATAAAAAAAAAAAAAAAAAATCGGATATCCTTGATCGAGTTTCATTTTGTTACGTAAATTGCGTTATGAAATTTGTAATTATGTGTGTATAAATTTTTTAAGTAGAGAACAAACGCGGATGTGTGCGGCTAAAACTCCGAACGACCATTCGCGTCACAATCTCTCGAGTTTCACCCACGTTTGACGCGTCTCGCGCGGAATGTGTCCCCGCTTTGTCAGAAAACTCGATACAAGTATCTCGTCCCCGAAAACAAGCAATCCCGGAAAAAGATGACGAACTTCCCGTGAAAAACGCACAATGACGATCCCTCGGCGAGTGTTTGGCTTTGCAAAGGAATGTAGCGCGGATATTGTTGCTTGTTCGAGGACCTCTTGTTTGAGTGGACGGGGGAAAAAAAAAAGAAAATTCTCGCTCTGAAACGGCAAGAAGATCAGTTGCTACATGTGGCGAGACAAATATTTGCCAGGTCTATCGTTTTGTTTCGCCAACGAAACACTTTTTTGCTGACGCGAGACAAAAAATTCTAGTGATACTTAGAAAATTGTTCTTACCGCTCGAGTACGAGATACTTTTTTTTTTTCGCGTCATCCACTTCGGATTCTTTCGGTTCGAGTGATCTTCGCGATATCTTTTTCGCGCCGGCAACTTGCTAGATCGAAATCGCGAGATGGTCGTTATACCTTATTTCTCTTCGCTTTTCTTCGCGAGATAAGATTTTCGATCCACCACAGTCAGGAAAAAAACGTCAGCGGGCGGGATATTCGGGATAGCGGTTTCCTGCGCGCGAGATCTCGTCGCGCGCAAATACAATGGGCGCGCGAAAGCAACGAACGAACTCGCCGTCGTTACACCGGTGCAAAATCCGCTGTATAACGAGAGCAGCTGGTGCGTCCCTTCTTTCGAGACGAAAAGAGAAGAAAAAAGAGGCACGGGCGAAAAGAAAGAAAGGAAGGAAGCGGCATGCGAGAGAACGCGCGCGCGCAGGATCTACTACGGACGGATAGTCCCCCCTTTCCTTTTCTTTTTCGGAGGTTTTCCGCTCTCTCTCTCTCTCTCTCTCTCTCTCTCTCGTTCTTTCTCGAGCAAGAAAAAGAAAAAAGAAGCACTCCCGAAAAAGGGGGGAGAAAGACAAGGAGAAGGAGGAGGAGGGGAAGAGCACGTCGCGGGCACGTGTCCTGGTCAGGACATCTGCCACTGAAAAGGACCCACTGTTACGTCCCCATTATATCGTTTACCTTAGCAGCGAACCACCTCTCTTTCTCGCTCTTCGTCTTCTGCTTTCCTCCTCCTTTTCCCCGGTGAGCTGCTTGCTTGCCCTTCGCCTTCTTGTGTCTAGGAACAAGCAGCTGCCCTTACGTATAAAGCGGACCTACGCGCACCTGCCCTTCTTCGCGAAGAGATGACTGTTTAACCGGTCTCGCAGTGATCATCGTCGTGACGTATTACCGGACGACGGAGGGAAAAAAAAAATAGAGTAATCCAAGCAAGATCCGCGGTAACAACTTTCAAACGATGATCACATATTGCGCAATGGATCTTACACTCGCATTACGCAGATACGAAGCAGCGAACGTTTCAATGTTCTCGAAGCGGAGAAACGTAAGATCCCCCAAAATTAGCGAATTGAAAATTCTATTTCGTAATTTTTTAGCACGCGGGGGATCTATCTTTGAAATGTACTTCGTCATAGTTTGTATTCTTCTATTTACTTCTTTGTGCGCGAGAAAAGAGAGTGCGTGACTAAATATACATCATCAGAGCGGGTCATCGTTTCGAGTCTTTTTTCGTCGCGTAGCGCCAGCCCGGAAATCTCGTGAGACCCAATTTCGTAACCCGCGCGAGACGCTACGCTTTCGTAGGTGACAAAATGTAACGAGCATCGCGCGCAGAGTTTCTATTCCGGGACGTCGGACGTCGACCGCAGACAGCTCCCAGACTATGCGCTAATAATCAGCAAGAGAGAAGGCCCGGCGCGACGCGAGAGAACCTCCGAGGAGGAAAAAGAAGAAGAAGAAAAACGACAGGGGAGGAGGAGGGGAAGAAAGAAACGAGCCAGAGAATTTCGTCCTTCGTTCGTTGCGAGAACGCGCGGCGCGTCACGCGTTGTAGCAAGGATCGCAAAAATTGGGTCATCCGAACGAACGCCTTTCTTAGGACGAGAAGTTAAATTCGTCTCCGTCATGGACGCGTGCGTCTCGTCCAAATATACGTATGCGCATATTTTGGGGAACGGTTACGATAACAATCTTTCAGTTGGTGGAACTTCGGACATCACTTGGCGAAATATTGTTTTCGTTACTTACGTTGCGATGTAGCGCGATGAATTTTATCTACAAATTATTATTCAACAAAACCGATTGTTGTGAAAAAAAAATTATGATAATAATATTTAAAATACAAATTTCTCAATTCTAAGAAATATATATTCGAATATGCGTAATTTCCAGATTATAATGCGCGTGTGGAATGTATTTTTTCTTTTGTTACAAAAATATACCGTTCGCGTGAATAAATTATATCACGTGAAAATGAAAGCGAGAACTCACCGTTACACACACAGGAGCAGGTTTAGCGGAAGTCAGTCACTCGCGTGATGGTGCCGTAATCTGCAAGCACAAGTGAATTCACAGCCATCAGAGAACACATAGGTAAATTATCACAATCGGTAAATGATGAAATTTCGCGACGCCACGTCCGGCGAGTAAAACTCGGTACTCGGCGGCGAAGAGAAGCTGAAAAAGGGGCGGCACTTTCGTCATTAGGATTCTAACCGAGCTCGTCCGCTTTCAAATGAACGACCCCTCGGCAACGAGACAAGTCCGCGCGCGCGCGCGCGCGTACCTATACATACATACACACGTAACATGCACGCACGCATGGACGGAACGGAATACCTTATAGGTACGAAAGGAAGCGAACTTCCTTCCTACGTCCGATGTCACGCGCGCCACCGTTTATATAATCCATCCTGTGACGTCACGCTTTAATCCATTCATTACTGAACCCGGAGACTCTCTTTCGCCGCTCCGTTCCTTCTCGCTCGCTGATAAAACACGCACCGCGCAGGCAAAAACTGCACATCTCGGCGTGCGTTTTTTTTTTTTTTTTTTTTTTAAAGATATACGTAAGAATATACAATCGCAACTTGATAAGAAATGCTTCTGTTTTTATTTTTATTTTTTCCTGTGTTGCCAGAGAAAATGCGCGCGCCGAGCTCCGTAATAAACCCGCCGCGTGTTCCGTTTTGTTCTTCGCTCTACCATCGCAACCTTCACTTACGAGCATTACTTGGCTCCCATTCGTTGCGCAGTCGTTCGAGTAGCGGCATTAGGCGACATTCACATATCAAATGTCGTTTGTTTTTTTTTTTTTTGAAGAAATACGCGTCGAACGTTTCTTTTGATTTTACCTATTTGCGATTTCCGCGAGTTAACGCGCGCGTAAAAAAAAACCGTCACACAGTCTGAATTCAAACGAGTTGCGCGCGACTTCGACGTTCAAAAATTTTTCATTGATATCGTGAAAATCGTTTTTTTTTTTTTTTTTTTCAAAGGTTGACGCCGAAGTCCGTGGATTTTTGTCGCGATTTCGTGTGCACGCGGCCTGCGACCGCGACGTGTGCAGCAGCGAGTGGGCGGACATGCACAGCGAACGACTTTCTGATAGAGAAGACACGTTACTTTACCGGTCGCGTGCACTCAGTGGAATTTTACTTTACGAGTACACTAAAAAGATAATTGAAGCGTGATCTCGAAACGTAACGGTAGGAAAAAAAATCGAACAAAGCGCCGAGAACTTGCCGAGAAACGTGCGCCTCTCTTAATTGAAATAAACATATTATTTTTTCGCGAACGGAGTACAAGTAGGAGATTAATTTAGAAAGTGCTTGTAGCTTATATCGAGACTCTGTTTGTAATTTAAATTTATGTGTCGAGTACACGCGACCTCGCGATAATAAAGCGATCAGGAACCCTCCGTCTCTCTCTTTCCGCGATATTCGACAGATGAGCGATTCCCAATTCAGGATTGACCCGAGCTGACCTTCGTCAGCGAGCTACGCTTGTTTTCGATATCGAATCGCCGCGACATCCGGGAGGAGTCCCGGCGCGACGACGACGGCGGCGGCGGTGGCGGTGGCGGCGAACGTGAATGAAACTCGGACTGCCAAGCGCGAATGGGGAACACGCGCTGAATGCATGCGTTTAAAGAAACTCCCGGAGAGAGAGAGAGTTAATGCTAAACGGCACACAATCGTGCGTGTGCGAGCGAGCGATAGCGCCGCGACGTTCTCTCCGAGATAACGCGCGCCGTTGAAAAATTGTTGACTACACTTGAAAAAAACACACTTTGTCAGATTATTTCGAAAGCGAGCGTAATCGCGCGGCACGCAGCGGGATTTTTCACAGACACGTCATCGCGCGTGTTTTAGGATAGGAATTTGTTATTCAACTAATTTTTTTTTTTTTATAACGCGTTCCGTGCTTGGTGTTTTTTTTTTGCACGAAATAAGCGCAAAAAGATCCTCAAACTGGTTACAGCGCAAGAAGAAACACGATTTCTGCGATATCACGGATTAAAAAGTAATTTCGATTCCAGAGGCAAAAAAAAAAAAAAAATTCCACACACGTGCGTAGCGCGACGCGCAGTTATAACATATCGCGTGTAATTAGGTATCTGGCGACAACGCGCTGTGTTCACGCAGCGGACAAGAGATTTGCAACGTGGCCTCCCCGCACGTGACGTAATACGGCGTTCCCCCGGCAGAGAGTCGATAAGAATTCTGACGCCTCCATTCAGAGACGGGAAACGAGAGAAAGATGAAAACGTCGACGCGGCGGTGGTGTGGGACGCGGCGAGGGTACAGCGGCGAAGTAATCGGACACTGATACGAGAAGGCGAGCGAGATTACGAAATCGACACAACTGCGAAACGCGATTGTTGCTTGAGGAATTCTACTCCTCGGCGCTCCGGTTCTTTTCTTCTCGTTCGTTTTTTTTTACATCGCGTTGAATGAACATTTACTGATGACGTATAACAGTTAAATTTTTTGGAACTAAATAAAAAACGCGCCCAAAATTTTTTCAAACGTACTTCATAGAAAAAAATCTAGGCGATGCAAAATGAAAGGCAACTTCTTTGTTAATTGTTCTTCTGTAAACATCATGAAGCAGGACGATCTTACACTTACGACACGCGATGAGTCGAATCGATATATTCACTTGTGTCAATAAAATCGCTTCTATCTATGTGACAAAATGAAGTTTTCGACGTACGTGATTAACCACTTGTTCACAAGATTCAATTGTCTTTTTAAACAATACAGAGAGAACATAAAACATAATTTTTCTTTGATATTACACGTGCATTAACTTAACGTTACGATATTAATTCTCCGACCCGATTACTCATCATTACGGGCGATGAAGGAAATGTCTGCGTTTTTGCGTTACGCAACAACGTGTTGTTGCCTCTCGAGAACGACGATTCGCGTTTTGCTCGAATTTTACGACGAATTCCGTTCGCATTTTGCAGTGTGAAGAGAGACATTCGTACACGCGTATTTACGCAACAGACTTACGTACACACGTCTGGCGCAGGTGGCGCCTAAATGACGCAAACATCTCTCTCTTATCGGTTATTCGATTATAAACTTTTTCAACAGCACAATCGGTCGCAAACTCGAGTAAAACCAAATTATACACATCAAATATTACATTCGAAAATTTTGCATGTACTGGCTCTTTCTCTTACAATTTCTAAAAATTGTTTGAAAGTAATTGTTTGTCACAAAAATATAATTTTCGGTGTGATTTTATTTCTATCTTTCTAGGTCGTTGACTTGGTTGTTTGTTCGTTTTTTTTTTTTTTTTTCGAGTAACGTTTCCCGATTTATTTCACGTGTCAAGCTAGAAAAATGTTGCGATGAGATCAGAAGAAGAATCGATATGTGTCGCGAGCGTGTGAGTAAATCGCGCATCAAAACCGTCTCGATCTCATCCGGCCAACTTCCTTCGGTTCTTCGAATATCGTCGTGAGCCACACACACGCGCGCATATCGTGCGCAACTACCTACTAAAAAAAAAAAAAAAGCAGTCCCTTCTTCCGCGCAGAAGAAAGGGACGCGTTAAAACGAGATTTAAAAAAGAGGCGCAACCTCTGAATGAGCACAAAAATAATAATTTAATGTTTATCCGACGTCCATATCTGATGTCGCAATATTTAACGGGCTAATGTACGTAATCATTAATCGTCCCTAGACACGCATCTAGGGAACGTCTGAAAAAGTTACACACACAGCTTGTAATTTATTACTCTAATGCTAATGAACCCGCTGTCTGGGGCGCAGTTGGCAAGAAATGATGTCACGACCGGAAGCAAGAAACGTGTGCGTGTGTGTGTGTGTGTGTGTAGGTATGCGTGTATTGATCATCCAAAGACGCGTGACCCAATTACAGCGTGGCCAAAGAGAAACATTGATTGTATTAGCGAGTTAACAAAGCAAAATTTTGCGTCAAACTGTTATCGCGCGTTTAATTAAGCGCTTAAATGTAAATTAAAACTTTAATAGAAAGAGATCGAAAAACTGCGATTAAACACCGTAATATAAAACCGATGTGGGAATAGAAGGAAAAGTTGCGTAATAATTCGTGGATGATTGTTACGGATGTTGCAAAAACCTTACGAGCTGTTTCATATAAAAACTGTTACGATATATATATATATGTATGTATGCGAGCGAGATCGACGAAGCTGTGATTTTCAAACCGACGGCCATTGTGGCGTCAAAGTGTGGGAAAAAGCTGCTTCGCTGTATAGCAAGAATGAAGAGCTGCAGTTCATTCATGGTGATCATTGAATGGAGAGAACGAGAGGGAGATCTATGCTCGCGAATGTACACACACGCGTGCACGCACTCACGCGCGAGCAATCCAACATGCTTGTGTGTGTGTGACGTTGCACCAGCATAAATAAATACTCGTGCGCGTGTGTATATGCATAGCAAATTACGAATAACCAATCGAACGCTTCCAAGCGTGATGTTGAGAAGAAAAAGCCTGTCAATTTGATTACACCGACTGAGTGCGACTCATTATCTATAAATAAATCGATAAATATTAACACGCAATTATTATACGAGATATTTAAATGCATTTTGTTTCTCTCTGCAAAGAGAGAATCATGTTAAATATATTGCGTTTTATTTATGAGATGAGATAAAAAAAACCTCATAATAATTCTACCACGTTCGGATATATTATTTAAATTTCTTGCTCGGTTCATCGATTGTAAAAAATGTCCCGCAAAATTTTTTCAACTTTTAACATTAAATAATTTATGCTATTTGTATATTATTGTTTTATCGCATAGTATATTTTTTGTATCTTGAAAGAAGTAAAAAAAAAAAATAACAAACATACTGTTTAAGTTTTTGTGACAATTGCGTGTACACATAAAAATTTACGTGCAGAAACTTTTGTAAAAATTACTCAGTTACTGCGGCGAAAGAAAAATCGCTTATTGAAATCGAGCATTTATATTATTGTCTTTTGCCGAAGGAACAAAGTACGAACAGATTCACCTGACAACGTGTGTCGAAGGCCTTACC